TCCTGCACAAAGTTAATAGAGGTAACAATGGGGTTTTCTTGCTTTCATAGCACATTCTGATTTCCATGTCTTCGTTTGTCGCTGAATTACGTGCTGATCCTGTCTCAAACTGTGACACAGAAACAGACTAACTCTTTTGATGCACTTAGCCTAGTACCAGTTATTCTTCCATGCAAAGCTTTCTGGTACTCTCAAAATTAACTCTGCCTGAGATTAAGGATAAATTCAATGCCATTAATTATTATATCTGTCGCATGTCAAGAAGAGCATAAAACTTGGAGTTTTTATGCATTTAGAATATTAACTAGATGAGTAACAATGGCGTTTTCATTAGCAATATCAGTAAATGTGGGCACTGCACAAAAAGGCTAAATGCACTTTTAAGATCATATAAACACATCAGGCAGCTGAAATGTTTTAAATATGCAGATTGCAAACTGTGCTATGCAGAGTAAACATAAAGGTAGCTGTAAGTTAATTTAAAGCACACTTGGAGATTCTCCAGCATACAAGTTATAAAAACTTCAAAGAAATGGATTTATCAAGCAATTGTCCACATGGTTACTTTTTAATGAACCCTTTCAAGTGGAACATATTTGACAGGAGAAAAGGCCAGAGAAGAATGTGTTTTAACCATCTTTATCCCCTCAATATTGCTCTGTGTGCAAATTAATTTACTGTGCATATAAATACTTGCTGCCTTCACAGAGTCTCTCCTAGCAGAATTAGAGAATAAGCAGAAGATTACACAGGGAAAAAGCAGACAATTTTTCCCAAGTAGGCACCCAGCAATTCCTAACGCACGTCTTTTCTGGTCCTATCTAAACTGACGGCTGGACTTCCTGCCTTTGCGTCTGTCCATAAGACATTCGGAAGGAAGGTTTGTATCTTCACATGTTTTCCATGAAGTACTTTGATGACTAATTTCTAGAGTACTGAGTCACATTGACCTTTCACATACTCCCCCTTCCAAATTGCTATCGTTATCCCTCTTCCCATTGTTACATGCCTTTTCCTCAGTTAAACTGTATTTAGATATTGTAAAACATATTCAACTTTTAGCTAACTTTTTTTTTTTTAAATACTGACTTACAGGTACATTTTTTCATTACACAGTTACTGAAAGAGAAGCTCAGGTCAGTTCTCTCAAGTGTAGAAATTACAAAAATCATCAATAATATTCTGGGGTTTTGTAACAGGAAGAAAAGTTCTATTTGGTTTTTACATTGGCATCAAGTCTCATTCACAACTCTCCTCATTGTTAGAGTGTTTTTAGTTTCTTGAGATTTTTAATATGCATGGTGAGTTCAATTGTCTCATACTAGCATCAGCTTAATTGGATTCTCCTAAAATGTTCTTGTACTTCCCGAAATATTAATTGCTTCAAATGTTGCATGCCTAGGAGGATGTGAAATAGCCTGGCAGACAACTCTGCCTTGGAGCTACCATAGTGAGAAATTGATTTTAAAAAACGAGCTCTTCTTTCAAACTCCAGCTATTGTTCAGATTTAACATGTTCACCTTTAGAAAGGCATTCTTTCAAAGAACTGTCTTAAAGCTGAAAATACCTTAATCTTTCATTCTGAAATCCAAAGAATAGTTTTATCAATAACTGTAAACGTATATTAATTGCCCTACTGTTTCAAATTTACAGAGAAAAAAAGGCTCCCTTTTCGCGGCACTAATTGCTGGGCTTTGAATCTAAATATCTGACTCCTGCATCTACCACATCCTAAAGAAAACATAATAATTTATACTCCTTTCTGCCAGCTAAAAAAAAAATAATCTAAATATTTTCCATGTAAAACTGAAAGTGTTAAAAGTACTCACCAAATTCCTAGCAACAGCTCTTGAGGAAAGAGAGAATTCCTTGAATCAGTGCTGAGTATGATCCTCCCCTACTACTTCACGTTGAAGGGGTGTGGTGTAAAGCTACAAAGGCAGGATTGCAAGCTGATCTTCCTAGAGCCGGCTCTTGCCTGCGGGTTCATCTGCTAGTTGTTCTTGCTTTTTGGAGAGCACACGGGTTCAGGCTGGGTAGAAATCAGAGGTCTGCAGCAGCGGCAGGGACACTTCCTGTTTTCAGATCTGTCTGCAGCTTCCAGCAGCTGGTTTCTGAACAGCACTAGCTAAAATTAAATGCACTTTTAAAGAGAGACAGTCTGTAGGATATTCTATTCATTGTACCTGGCAGGCTTTGACAGGGCTCATGGGAATGCTCCACTCACTGCCTAACAGAGATATGTTGTAGTTTGCTGTGGTT